CCTGCTGATATAATACAAATATCAGTTTCCAGCAAGTGGATTGGGGTGAAAAAAATCTGCATTTTTATAAAAGTTTAAAAACATATAGCACCAAGAATGGCTAAAAATCTTAGATCTCAACTGCTATATTTGGCTGCTTCAAACAACCACAGGAATTGAAAACAAGTATGTATATATTGAACCTCTGTGGTCTGTGAGTCTCTGGTCCGGCAACTTCTGTGATCTGGAAAGACCCTTCAGTTCAATTTCTAGTGTAGACAGTTTAAAAATATCTGTGCTGTGGGGAAAGGACTCTTGAGAAACCATATGCTGTTCTGGAGATTACACTGATTCGTTGCATGTTGCGGTGTGATAATAGGGAAGGCAACAGCAAACTCAAATATGTAATAAACCATGAAAACCTAAACTTCACACAAGTAAACTTTTGATGATCATGGTTAGGATTTCACAGTGCCACTGCCTTTTTGACATTGGACCTAGGAGCAAAAGTGCCAGACTCAGTGGCTACAATGGATTAATTATACAGTATGGCTGAAAACAGTGCTAGGATGCTTGCATAATAATCTTATAGCTGCATGACAACTCTGGATGACTCCCTGAATGCTGCTGCCAATTTATAATGCTCACCTGCAGCAAAACAGGAAAAGGCTTGTCATTACCTCCCCCTTCCTATTTCTTGTTTTTCCTACAAACATCAGCATCAATTTGCTTGTCAGGGAAGCTGACGGCTGCAAAGTGGAGAGCCTACCTGACAGCTGAAATTGCAAGGTCAGGAGAAACTGAACCCATGTGGTGTGGCGGCAAATTACCTTGCATGCCATTGCAATGCAAATACATATAAGAGAAATCAGGTGGTTGGCTGGCTGATGTTTTCATGCAACTCATTAATATGGAAAATAAACTAGCGAGTTAAATTGGGCAGCATAGGCTAAACATACAGGCTACATCTACACTGGTCCCTTTTTCGGAAGGGGCATGCTAATTTTGAAAGTGGGAATAGGGATATGCTTCTGGCTCTCAGTCAAAGGACTGACTGGAAGATCTTTCATTCAATCCCTTGGGACTTGCAGGGTCTCACATGACTCATTAGTTGATAGAGTGCCACAGACTGGTTAATGAAGGGAATTCCACACAGTTTTCCTTGGAAGCACAAGGAGGGCTTGAAGACAAGGATAAGATGGTGGAAAATGGGTCAGATCTCAGCGTGGGCCTGGAATGTTTGTTGGAATTGTGCAACAGTCTGCCTAGGCTTAGCTGTATCTGTTCCAGCACTTTGGGCACAAAGCAAAGATGCGATGGGAGGGACCTAGTTTACATAGTGCACAAAGGACCCTGTCATGAAGGGGAGCTGCAAAGGAGAGTCTAACTTACCTGGAGAACAAGGAAAGGCTTAAGCAAACTTAAAGCTCTGCACCTGAGGAAGAGGGGCTTTGTGCATTGGCCAATGAAACGCAGGTAAAGGATTTCAAACTGAAGACAGCAAGCTCTTTGTTTGAGATGGATGGGGAATCTTCTCCAGGCACGGTGGGGAAAGATGAACTCTTCCAAAACCAGATTCCTTGGATTCATCAGAATGTGTGAGCAGGAAAAAGTTTAGGTATTCCATCAGATTTATTGTTTTCCTTGTTTGGGGTTTGGAAATTGTGTGAGCTAGTTAATTTGTCTTTTTTCTTCTCTCATTTGTAACCAAGAATTAATCCCAGGGAAAATCCCTGAGTTTATTCCAGTTCATGGCTTTTTAACACCAAGTCATTTACTCTGCTTGCAACAATAATCTTGTTTTAATAATAAAAGTGTTTTTTTGTTTTATTAACTGGTATAAGTTGATCTTTTGTGTCCTTAAACTTAAGTGTCTAGCTGCAGACACATTAACAGAGCGAGAGCACAGGTTCATCATCTGTGGGAGTGCTTTTGCTTGTTTTTCCCAACTCCTGGGAGAAAGGAGGTTGCGGATTTAGCCCTCAGGGAAGAGCTTCCAAGTGATTTCTTCCCTGGAAAAAGGGGGTACACTTTGGACACAGGGTGGCAGCAATAGCCAGATTTCAGGGAAAATGAAACCGGAAACTTTTTTTTGTCTCTGGGACTACAGAGACAGGATCTTACAGAGGTTTTATTTTGCTAGCCGGCCTCCATTGCATGCACTTAAAGTGCTAGGTTGGGGAATTCAGCTGTGACAGTCTCAGAAAATGCTGCAATTCTGCAGCCTCTGCAATAGATGAGGTGCCTTGATTTAGAGGAAGAGCTAAATAGGGACCATCCTGTGACAGAATATTTTTCTTTGGTTTCTGCCAGCTGTATTTCAATGTGCAGTCTGAGGGTATGTCTAGACTGCATCCCTCTGCCAACAGAGGGATGCAGATTAGGCAAGTCGACATTGCAAATGAGGCAGGGATTTAAATATCCCATGCCTAATTTGCATAAAAATGGTTGCCATGTTCTGCCAACTCAGCAGTTTGTCAGCAAAAAGCGGCAGTCTAGAGGGGGATCTGTTGAGAAAGAAAGCCTTTTTCGACAGATCCCTTATGTCTCCTGCAAGGAGGTTTACTCCTCATTACAGGAGGTGTAACAGCTAATTTGAGGGAAGGGATTTGGATCGGACTCCTGCTTCTATACGCGGCAAGTTATATTGGGCGACCATCATTTTAAAATGGCGACCGGCTCTGAATCTGCTAATCAAGCGCGGGATATTTAAATCCCGCACTTCATTAGCACCTTCAGTATGCTTCATTTGCCTCCCTAGTCCGAACTAGGGGGAAAATGTAGACATACTCTGAGTAGCTGGAGAAAAACTGCCCCAGAGACAAAGGAGGGAGAAACCAAAAATTCCTTTGTCCCAGTTTGAAATCCCTACATGCATTCCTATTGGCCATCTCCACCTGACTTAGCAGTAGTTAACCCCTTAGGGTATGTCTACACTATAAATTTAATTCGAACTACCAGCCGTTAGTTCGAATTAACTTTAATAGGCGCTACACATACAAACCGCTAGTTCGAACTTAATTCGAACTAGGTAAACATCATTCTATGAGGACTAACGCCTAGTTCGAATAAAGTAGTTCGAATTAAGTGCTGTGTAGCCACTTAATTCGAACTAGTAGGAGGTTAGCCCTTCCCAGCTTGCCCTGGTGGCCACTCTAGGCACAGCCAGGGAAATTCTTCTGCCCCCCTTCCGGCCCCGTAGCCCTTAAAGGGGCACAGTCTGGCTACGGTGCCAGTGCCAGGTGCAAGCCCGCCAGCACCCAGCCAGCAGATCCTGCACCTGGCATGGCACAACCACCGTGGCTTAACAACCATGTAAAAGAAGCAGTGAGAGATAAAAAGACATCTTTTAAAAAGTGGAAGTTAAATCCTAGTGAGGTAAATAGAAAGGAGCATCAACACTGTCAAATTAAGTGTAAACATGTAATAAGAAAAGCCAAAAAGAAGTTTGAAGAACAGCTAGCCACAAACACAAAAGGTAATAACAAAATGTTTTTAAAGTACATCAGAAGCAGGAAGCCTGCTAAACAATCAGTGGGCCCTCTGGATGATCGAGATACAAAAGGAGCACTTAAAGATGATAAAGTAATTGCGGAGAAACTAAATGATTTCTTTACTTCAGTCTTCACGACTGAGGAAGTTACGGAGATTCCCAAAGCTGACTCGTCCTTTGAAGGTGACAAATCTGAGGACTTGTCACCGATTGAAGTGTCATTAGAGGAGGTTTTGGAACAAATTGATAAACTTAATAGTAAGACGTCACCGGGACCAGATGGCATTCACGCAAGAGTTCTGAAAGAACTCAAATGAGAAATTGCGTAACTGTTAACTATGGTTTGTAACCTGTCCTTTAAATCAGCTTCTGTGCCCAGTGACTGGAAGATAGCTAATGTAACGCCAATATTTAAAAAAAGCTCTAGAGGCGATTTCAGCAATTACACACCACTAAGTCTAATGTCAGTACTGGGCAAATTGGTTGAAACAGTAATAAAGAGTAAAATTGTCAGACAAATAGAAGAACATAATTTGTTGGGCAAAAGTCAACGCGGTTTCTGTAACACGAAATCAGGTCTTATTAATCTATTAGAGTTCTTTGAAGGGGTCAACAAATGTGGAGAAGGGGGATTCAGTAGATATAGTGTACTTAGATTTCCAGAAAGTCTTTGACAAGGTCCCTCACCAAAGGCTCTTACGCAAGTTAAGTTGTCATGGGATAAGAGGGAAGATCCTTTCATGGACTGAGAACTGGTTAAAAGACAGAAAACAAAGGTTAGGAATAAATGGTAAATTTTCAGAATGGAGATGGGTAATTAGTGGTGTTCCCCAAGGGTCAGCCCTAGGACCATTCCTATTCAACTTATTCATAAATGATCTGGAGAAAGGGCTAAACAGTGAGATGGCAAAATTTGTAGATGATACTTAACTGCTTAAGGTAGCTAAGACCAAAGCAGACTGTGAAGAACTTCAAAAAGAAATCACCAAACCAAGTGACTGGGCAAAAATATGGCAAATGAAATTTAATGTGGATAAATGTAAAGTAATGCACATTGGAAGAAAAAACCCCAACTATACATATAATATGATGGGGGCTAATGTAGCTACAACTAATCAGGAAAGAGATCTTAGAGTCATCAGGATAGTTCTCTGAAAACGTCCACGCAGTGTGCAGCGGCAGTCAAAAAAAGCTAACAGGATGTTATGAATCATTAAAAAAGGGATAGAGAATAAGACGGAGAATATCTTATTGCCCTTATATAAATCCATAGTATGCCCACATCTTGAATACTGCGTATAGATGTGGTCTCCTCATCTCAGAAAAGATATATTGGCATTAGAAAAGGTTCGGAGAAGGGCAACTAAAATGATTAAGGGTTTGGAATGGGTCCCATATGAGGAGAGATTAAAGAGACTTGGACTTTTCAGCTTGGAAAAGAGGAGACTAAGGGGGAATATGATAGAGGTCTATAAAATCATGAGTGGTGTGGAGAAAGTGAATATGGAAAAGTAATTTACTTGTTCCCATAATATAAGAACTATGGGCCACCAAATGAAACTAATGGGCAGCAGGTTTAAAACAAATAAAAGGAAGTTCTTCTTCACACAGTGCATAGTCAATCTGTGGAACTCCTTGCCTAAGGAAGTTGTGAAGGCTAAGACTATAACAGGATTTAAAAGAGAACTAGATAAATAAATGAAGGTTAAATCCATCATTGGCTATTAGCCAGTATGGGTAAGGAATGGAGTCCCCAGCCTCTCTTTGTCAGAGGGTGGAGATGGATGGCAGGAGAGAGATCACTTGATCATTACCTGTGGGTTCACTCCCTCTGGGGCACCTAGCATTGGCCACTGTCGGCAGACAGGGTACTGGGCTGGATGGACCTTTGGTCTGACCCAGTATGGCCATTCTTATGTTCTAAACCTCCCTTCCTGATATTCCAGATGCAAATATGGATTTTGAAACAGGGCCCTATTGGTTGCTATGTAGTTTCTTTTTTTTGTCATGGTGGTCTATTCAAGGTCAGCTAAGCTTTTCCATGTAACACCCAACAGGAGGAACCAAACCTGGATCTCCTGGAGCTTAGTGAATGAGCCTCAACCACATGAGCAAAAAGCCAACTGGCTCTGAGGTAAGGCTGTAGAGTGGGCTCATTATTCTCTGTGTAAGTGGTCTCAGTGCCACTAGATGAGACAGTGATAGAGATGCAGCCGTGTTAGTCTGGTGTAGCTAAAACAAAAGACAGGACTATGTAGCACGTTAAAGACTAACAAGATGGTTTATTAGGTGATGAGCTTTCATGGGTTCAGAAGAAGTGGGTCTGGCCCATAAAAGCTCATCACCTAATAAACCATCTTGTTAGTCTTTAACGTGCAGGCGAGACAGTACACCACACCCAGTGTGGGTTAGATGCGCAGTGCATGATAGGAATCATCATACAGGGTAAAGCATGTCCCTTCTATAATAATATTTTTAGGCTTTTGAAGTGTAGTTTCTATGGGGCTTGTACTCCATTTGCGACCTTAATTAACCTCGGAGCATTCCTGTGAGATAGGGAAGTACTCTAAAACCAAACATTTGAAATCAGTGAGTCCAACAGATTTGCCAGATCCTGGGGCAAGTGGGGGAGTAGTTCCAGGGCTGGCCCGAGCCCCTCTGCTGCCCTAGGCCAGGGCACGTGGCGCCAGCCCCAGGCACATGGCACATGCCCGGGCCCACCTGTGGGGCATGGGCCCGCCCTCCCCAGTGTGCACGGCCCCCCCTCCCAGGGCTGGCCACTGGCCCCGGGCTCCAGCCGCTA